GATCTAATCTATCGTAATAGCGACTTTATTTTATTGCAAGTTTTGTCTTGATAGGATTGCCAGAATTTGACTTTCCACCTTTGGATCCATTATTCTATGAACACGGCGAACATACGTTTGATACCGGTGTGATACATGGGGAGCTCAACATAAAAAATTTAACCTTAAAAGGTTTGAAAAATATTCAAGTAACCAATGTAAGAACGCATTTGGCCGATGACGTATTCCGTGTGGAAATTGACCATAATATACCGAAACTTTATATGGATGGTTATAGTAGTATAGAGGGTAGATTAGGACCTTTCACACTAAAAGGCAAAGGTACAATACATTCTACGCAAAGTGTGTACGCATAAAGTAACATATAAAATATATCGCATTTTGGTCCGTTTCTCTCAAAATACAAGACTTATTTTAATTATCAAATTTTTTTAAAAAATTAAGGAAAGTTTAACTTAACTATACTTGATGTCAGAGGCACGTATGATCTTATGGGTCATGTTTCAAACGACACGTGGACTGTTGAAAGATTTATAACGTATCCATCTCTTAAAAAGTTAGAAATATTTTTCGACGACATATTTGACATCACAGAAATAAGTAAGAAACATCTTGTATAAATAGAATTCTAGATCTCAAGTTTTTAAGGATATTATACCAATCAAAAATATTATACTATGTTATAATGTTTTTGAGTAGTATAATATTAAAAACACTATAAATAAAAAATATTACTTTTAGACAAGCTTGTCGTCGCTTTCATAAATGAATATTGGCCGTCGTTATATCGAGAACTATTGCCAATTTTGTCCAACGTATGGGAGCCATGGTTAATTGACATAGTCAATCGAATCTTCACTAAAGTATCCTTCTCCGAACTATTTCCATAAACGTTATTGTATATATTAAAACTATTACAAGTAAGATATGGAAAAAATATCATGTAAAAATATATATGTAAAACCTATTTTAATACTAAGCAACTTTAAACTGTCAAACTATGCTATTGTTACAGGAGATCTTAACCTAACCTAATCTAAATGGGGTAGGTATTATACTAACATGGGACATAAATAGACAGGTCCGTGATAACAGATTGATTGTAGAACATGGTTATCCGAAACTAGAAGTAAGCAAAGTAAACATTTATTTTAATGATGTGTTTGATAGCAAAAAGCTAAGTGAATACAATAAAATACTGAATATAAAAACAAGAATTGCAAGACTTTTACCTCGATATTTTGATATAAATTTTTTTCTATACATGATTTTGCTGTGCATTTCGTGAACGAGTACTGGACAACATTGTATCGATTTATTTTACAAATGACAAATAAATAGATTGACCAGTGGTGCACTGACTACATGAACCGCATATTTTCAAAAGTTTTTTTTTCAAAATTAGTTTTATAAAATGTAATTGTGTAGGAATATAAAATATATATTTGTATTAAACATAGTTGCGTAATTTGACTTGAACGGAAAGTAGTAAACCTTTGACGCTGTTAGTTGTCAAGACAGCGGTCGTTTCGACAAGCGATAAATATTATAATATATAAATATGTATGACTTGTAAACAGCGTTCAACACTTCCCTGCATATTTTGTTCTCATCTTATACGATCACCGGTTCAATAAATTGAGAAGAGAAGAGATTGTCGAAGAAACGAGTCGAAAGTTTCTTCGACGAAGCGATTTGCCGCAGGAGTGAGTCAACGTTAGACACTTGGTTTTGCTCGTTGTAATAATAATCAATCTACTTAAATATATCGCCTCATATTTCACAATTTTATTTTAAATACTTCTTATAGTTATTTATTTATTTCTCACAAATCTACCGATACCGCCTACAGTTTTATAGATTATTTTTATATAAAGTATGGTAATGCCTTTTTACTATATGATAATAAAAATCTACTTATTTGACTAAATAAGTCAAAAAATATAGACGTGTGCCGTAAAAAAAATGTGTAAATTCTTTCTATGTAATTTCTTTCTTTTCAATAATAAATGTTAAAGTGCAAGCGTATTAAAATATTAATTATTAAATTTGTCTCTCATCATTAGAGCTAAGTAATACTGATATATAAGAAGTAGAAACTATAATATTGTTGCGAGATGCGTGTCGCATCGACACTCGGTAGAAGCAAAAATTGCTTCGATGTTTGATCGCTTAGTTGCGCAGCATTTAGTCGACAGAAGAACGGGATTGTCGAATAGCATAGTTCAAGCAGCAGATCTAGTCAGAGGCCGGAGCAAAACGGACGTGTGGAAAAGAGCTCCGGACGTATCTGTATTTTATCCGAATCTCTTACATTCTTTAATAAAGCGAGTTCTGAGACGAACCGTGTACTTATCTATTTCTCGTAAATCGCGGAAACGCGGCGACGGTGCAACAATAGTAAACAATAATCGAAAAGGACAGTGTGAGTACCGCATACTTCGAAATAATGTTGAACACAGTGTCAATCTGGTCTTCTGGCTCTCCTTGACCTGAATTACATCTTTTTTTTAAGTTTTGTGTATGTGATTACAGTTCCATACAATTTATACTGATTGCTACATTTCTGGAAATAATTGAAAATATTTAAAAATTACATCATATAAAAGTACATTGCAAATTCAATTTTCCACATAAGATTCTAAATTATTTCAAAATGTTCAAAACAAACTATGTTAGATAAAAACTCACACACAAACAATATATGACATTTATTTATAATAAGTACATATAACAAATTAAAAAATGTAAGATTATATAGTATCAAACTGTATCTAACTAAAGAATTGGTCAATGTTAGTCATGTCCTATATGCGCAAAATATATTCTTAAACATGTAAATTATATATATAATATGAATTATAATTATTCAAACTAAATTCACTTCAAAATTTTATATAGAACGCTTGGTTTGAACCACCTGTGTAGTATCTATTTATCATGTAAAGTATCTATTTTACTCTCTCCTATTTGGTTAATATATTCATATATACATATATACATATGTGATGCAAAACAAGCATACAATATGAATTTTTGAATCAAATTCAGTTCAAATTATTGTATTTAATAATTTACACGTTTAAAAATATATTTCGCGCACATACATTCAGTACATGGCTCACATTGATTAAAAAACCTCTTTGAAAGTTAGATAATTAAATATGTTTTGCTACTTCTTCTACAATTAAAATTGACCATGCAGATAAAATAATAAAATAATATTTATTGTCTTGTTTTTACCTTAGCGTATAATGAGATTATAGCGTTGTATAATAAAATTTTTTTACACGTGCGTATCACTAGATAATGTCATAAATGCTGTGACGCACAATATAAAGAAATATCGAGGAAGTATCTCATGCAAATTACTTTAATAAGCAGAGTGATTTAAAACAATGTAATGTTGGTAACCTTGAATTTGCAAGAACTTATATTTTACAATAAGACGTTAGGAATGCATGATAAACACATACATATATATTATATGTCGCAGGACCCAAAAAACATTACAAGATAAATGTTTGCAAAACCGGATCCCTAGATGATCTTGATCTTGACATATGTTGTCAAAGACATGTCTCTGACAACGAATTCGATTGGATGCACTAGTGCGCACTGAGTGCGTCTTCTTTCAGTGTGTGTAGTAAAATATCAACACTGAAAATATTCTACTACATTGAAAAAAGATGCACTCGGTGCGCAGTAGTGCATCCAATCGAATTCGTCATGAGTAACAATCGAAAAGTTTTAGTCGTCGCTTATTGTTCATTAAAAAGTTATGAACAAGACAAATATCCGAAATAAACTTTTATTTTCGATCCATATATATTTGAGAAGTAAATATTTTGTTTGTATCATACACTATCATGTACACGTGCAGGCAAGGGGAGGAGCTTCGTCTCTCCCTCTGCCTCCTTAAAAAACCTTCATTTATTGTTAATGATATTATAGTAACACAAGTTGGAGTAGGTTGGGTTATTTCAGGCGAGGTGCAGGGATAAAGGCAAAGCCCTTCTTTTATTCTTCTACTTATAAAAAGCTGTGTGTACATAAAAGAAACTGAGATACAAAGTTATATACAGGATATAACGTTATATAAAACTCGTATCTATTTATTCCTGCTTATTCAAGGTGCTACGTTTGAACAAGCAAGATGTGCAAATTAGTATCAACCGCAATTAGTGTGATATGTGTTGCAGCGTTTGGATTGGCAGACAAACTCACGCTCCGTAAGTAACTTTTGCGATAAAATTAAAAAAAGCAATAATTATAAAATTGAGAAAAGACCAACAAAAAGCCCAACGCTGAAAATGATATATAACAAATCTTTAATTATTTAAGATTAAATATAATCATATGATCGAAACTGCAAACATTTCGATCATTATTCAAATTCTCTTCAATAAGGAAAAGTTAAATAAATAACAATAAATATTAATAATAGAATAATGTGAGATGTGATCTAGGGTTCGTAGTTGAAAATTAATAAGTTCTGTATGTAGGCTGCTCGAACCAAGTGGCAAGATGGTGACCTTCACGTTGACCTTCCTTCATCGCACAGTATTGACTATCTTTTAAAATTGACTGTTACGACACACACTGACATACATCTCGTCATGAATCTCATTGCTTTGAAAGACTGTAATTTATTCAATGTTTTTCTACCGATGATGACTTAAAAATAAAGTAGAAACGTCTGGATTAATCACTTAAGTTTGATTTACGGTCAAACACTTTGCCACTTACAGAATAAATATTATCGCAAAAACAATATTTGTTACAATATTAGTTTCTTTTAAATTAACATCTAGACAATATTTTATTTATTGATAAAATATTTTAATTATTTGCAGAACTAATGTTTTTGCGAAATCTGTATTACAATATTTATACATTTTTAGGATTAAAGAGAGCCTGAATAAAAAATCAAAACGTTTGAAATTATATTTAGCTTTAACCTTTAAACCGCCGGCATTTTTCCATTAAAATAATGTATTTTTTTCTCTAAGATTTGTGTATATTAATAACATACACGTTATTTGGAATCTCGAGTGCATGAAGCCCCAAAAGGGCTTTTGCGGCGGGGAATGGAAGTCACATATGGAACAAATTTTTTTATGAAAATTGCCAAATTTTAGGTTCTGATTATCAATTTTGAGTGTAAATCTGTGAAATTTTGAACTTATGAATAATAATACTGACGATATGACCGAGTATAAATGTACAGGTTTCTATTGAAAAATAGCGTACAATGAATGGAGAAAACTTTCTTATTTTTGTGCATTATTTATATATATAGTATTTATATTTTTTTTATATTTCACATATTCCATAATTTCTATTCTGCTGTTGACGAAATTCGTATGGTAGAATCGCGCACAATATTTAACTTCCATCTGCGCGCGCGCGCGTTGAGTGCGTGCGTGCGTGTGTTCGTATGTGTGTGAGTAAAAAAGCAAAATATTTTTTTAATGAATCTATGATTAATTAAAAAATAATACTGTAATTGATATTTGGCAAATATAAACAAACACACGTGTTTACATATGTACAAAAGCGAATACATTTACTGTATATTTACTACGTATATATGTATTAATTAATATTTTCACGATCAATTAAACACCTTAGAAATATAGAAATATCAAAGTCCCAAAAAGGGCTCTTGCGACGGCCAAAAGGTTAATTAATGATATTAACTCACTATTTGCTTTTTGGTACTTTCAAACTTTACTTTTTCTCATCTTTTATTCTTTATATACATATATTGTAGTACTAATATAATATTTATAAAAAGTTTCTACAACATAATTCTTAAAAAAAGAAAAGATTTTTATATTACGGGCAACACGTACACGTACTTTGACATATAATTACGTAACAAATTTTAGTTGGTTTTTAAAAAATGTGTTTTATATTTACTTTAAAAATAATCCACGTATTGTTTTCTTTTTATAGTACTATTATATTTCATGTTTATTTAGCTGTAATTGTATGCAAGAGGAATTCACCTGATTATTCTATCTGCTTGAAAGACGCAGCAGAGGAAGCATGGCCACGATTTCTCAAAGGTAGTTTTACAAAATTATATATATGTTAGTTTATGAAACTATGTATGTTTGTAAAAAATAAGCATTCGTGACTAATCTGATATTTGATGCTTTTGCGGTGTGTTGTATTAACATTCAGAGATGTTTTTCGAGTTTGAACCGCGTTAGTATCATCTTTATACCGACGTTTCGTGAATTTCAGCTCACTTCATCAGGGTTTTAAGAGCAGCTTGATACTGAAATGCTCTTGGACAAGTACCTTACTCCTACTACTACATTCTCTTCCTTTCTCCATAATTTGACGCTATAAAAAAAGACACTTGTTCAAGAGCATCTCAGTATCAGGCCGCTCTTGACACCCTGATGAAGTGAGCTAAAATGTTCACGAAACATCGGTATATAAATGACACTAACGCGATTCAAACCCAAAAAATAACTTCGAATTTGTGAATAAATTGTACCATGTATATTTCTAGTAAATAAATAAGTTTGACTTTGACGGCAACTTTCTTACATGTTACAAGTTATTGAGTTTCAAAAAATTAAAATCTACCTAAAATTTATAATCTGTCCAAAATTTATAATCTGCCCGATTAAAAGAGCAATAAAATAATTGACAATAATAATTGCTATGACAATTAAATAAAGTTTTGAATTCGAGTAAATAAATCTCACATGAAGAGTCAAAAACATTCATGCATCTACAGCTACTATAGTTAATTATATTTTAAGCTTAGATAAAATCTTCTTTAAACAAACTACCAGAAGATAAACAATTATTTATTTCTCAGGATTACCGGAATTTGACTTCCCATCCTTGGATCCCCTAGTTTATACACATGGCACAGCTACATTTGAAACAGGCGAAATACGTGGAGAAGTGACTCTTTCTAATACTACTGCAAAGGGTTTAAAAGAGAATCGTTTTACTAATGCAAGAGCAAACTTGCTCGATAACATTTTCCGGTTGGAACTTGACTTTGTAGTGCCACGTATCTTACTCGAAGGTTACGTCACTGCACAGGGTAGTCTAGGAGCTTTTAGAATGAATGGCAAAGGTATGTGTATACATGTATATATACATATATATATTTTTATATATTAATATTACTTAATTTAGTGTATATGTGTAGTGTTAAGACAATATGTATATTATTTTATTTATTTATGTCGTTATTGACGCAATAGGTCCTTTCAACCTAACTATAGACAACGTCGAAGGAACGTATGATCTTACGGGTCATGTAACAAACGATACTTGGGTCGTAGAACACTTTACTACACTTCCGTCAGTCAGAAAAATGAAAATTTATCTCGAAGAAATATTCAACTCTAAAGAGATTAGTAAGAAATTCAATTATCAAAACCAAAAATCAAGTGTTACTTAAAAATAAAGTTACATAATAGTATATTAGTATATTAGTATCAAAGACACAATGTAAGTAACAATAAATGTTTACTTGCAGACGATCTCGCTATAAGTTTTATAAACGAATACTGGCCAGCGTTGTATCGAGTAATGTTGCCAGTTGCAGCCAAAGAATGGGATAAATGGTTGACTGACTTAAGCAATCGCTTGTTCTCCAAAGTTTCTTTCTCCGCATTGTTCCCTTAGATCTTTTGACAAAATCATAATTTCATAATTTTAGTAACTATAAATTTAACATTAATTGTTAAGATTATTCGTATCATAGATGTTTCTTTTTTAATTTCACTCTATGTGTTAACATCCAATTAGTTTATTACTATTTGTGACAGTATTTATATTTGGTCACACAGTCGCTATATTGCACATAAAATAAATATTTGTTAAACGTACCATCTGTGTTTTTTAACTGTCAATGACTTACAACAACTATTTTAATTTTTAATTTTTATATTGCATTATAAAAAACTTATGCTGAATGTTAAATTTGAAAATAACTGAAAAAATTTTCAGACATTTTAACATCAAAATTACAATTTAAAGTTAATTTTCTACATTGTTTCAGATTCTTCAAATTTCTTTGGCATTTTTAGTTAAAAATTCAAACAATGTATACATTTTTAGTAATTAAATATATTTTGCTATTTTTGTGTAAATCAAGATTGATCTTCAGGCACATGATAATATATCTTTTTCTTTTTTTTCTACTGATCAATCAGTTATAGTTAGTGCTATGTAAACAAATGTCTAGCTATATCTATAAAACATCGCTATGATAATGATACAAACGCTCTGGTCATAACAGGACATAATAAATATCAAGAGAGTTGTGTGACGTCATTGTGTGCAAACATAAATCAAGGATAAATAAATCAAGGCGATTTCAAGGCAATTTTAATGTTATTTTTGAATTCACAAGAACTACATATTCAAAATTTGACACAATTGTTTTTAAATGGAAACGTAAACGCACATTGCACTGGCTTATTCCCCTACAAAATAATGAGTAAGAAATTACTTTACAACAAAACTAATGTTCACAGTATTCACGTGGATCAACAATGTAATTATGATAACTTTCCAATTGCAGATAATCTCTTCAACATATTTGTAAGCGACAATTTTGTAAACTGATATCGAGTGATCCCGTCATTTCAACACATTACTTTCGTCACACGTAATTGACTTGTGTAATCGCTTCTTGTCAAAAGTTCTCTTCTCCGTACTGTTCCCATAAAATGTATGTATTTGTCAAGGTTTATTAGACCTTTAATAAATTTAAAGAAATTGGGAATACGTCTTCAGAAAAGCACCCAATTACATTGTAACATTAATTTTCTAAATGGTTCCCTCGCCGATTCTTAGGTTTTCTTCATCCTCTCTCGACTACCAAGTCTCTCGCATAGAGATTTCAATTACTTGAATTATCATTTCGCCAACTCTGTTCTTTAATTTCACAAAATGGATCTGCTTCGATGACAAGCAACGACGATATTGATTCTTTGAAGCTCTTCGACAAAAGGAACGTTCGTTGTCGCGTTCATAACGTTTACAATTCTCGCGGTGAGAATTTTTTTTTCTCGGAAGGATTAATTGGTCCTGAACGAGAGAGAGAGAGAGAGAAAAAGCGCGAAACTTTGCTTGTTCAATTTACACTCGAGGTATACGACATGTATACGAACGCGGACGTGCAATTTTTAACCGCGACGAGAAATCAAGATCTCTCTTTCGAGTATACACTTCCTCGTTCGGTATATACGCTCTGGCATTTTTATAGCAGTATCTTTCGTAAAAGGCTCGGGAGAGAACGAAAGTGGTAAGTATATAAAAAGAGAGAGAGAGAGAATAAAAGGAAGAACGGAAGATACGGTGAAACCGAGAAAGAAACGAAGAGGCACGCGGAATTTGTTGCGGACGGAAGTCAGTAGGAGAAAGTTGAAATACGCGCCTGGAGTTGTCAAACTTTTGCATCAAGGAATTCTTTTTCTCTCCCGGACTCGCCTGGAACATCCGTAATAAAGTTATAAACTTTTAGGAAGGGCCACCTCTCGTTACGTAACTGCTCACTCTCGCGAATCCTCAGCGCGCGACAAACGAAATTTTGCTGCTTTTTTGTTCCTCGAGCACTCGGTAACTGAATCTGTGAATTAAATCGTCCGATTAATTGGTTTATACCGCGAAATATAATCCACCAGATCGCGAAACAAGTAGAAAGTACATTATGTAACATACATGCGAATAAATAAGAGTATTTTACACAACGAGAAGATATTAACAAAAATCTGAATTATTCTCCAATTTCTCGGTTTTCTTCTGTTTTACGAGCGCTTTGAAGTAACGACGGAAAAACAAAATGTATGTCGATTCCATCTGTGTAACGCCGAGATTACCATTTCCAAGCTAATGAAGACATTTCGTGTATAGTTGCTGAGGCAGACGTCTGATTCGCGTGCGGATGGTAATCACCCTTTTGAGCGCGATTTAGCTACTCGGTAATTATTCAATTTTGCAATGTAAAGCCGAAGCGATTGCACTCCCGAAAATGCACCCCGTGAGAGATTTTATCGCTCGGCTTTTAAATTGAATTACCTTACATCGCACGCACGGAACATGCGATTACGCGACCTGTACACGATCGAGTACTCTCTCTCTCTCTCTCTCTCTCTCTCTCTCTCTCTCTCTCTCTCTCTCTCTCTGTGACTCGAGACTCATATTATTCTTGTATACGCCGAATATTACGTGTATGTAACAGATAAAAAAAACCACACACATATGATTCGAAAAAAAATATCTGATGCAAGAATAAACGTACGAGAGTTATCGAGTCATTTCAGAGTCCATTTGCGCATGTTCGCGCGAGGACGTAAATTTTTGTTGAAGGTAAGAGCGTTGCCGTAAACTTTTTTATACGCGCGATCTCGCGACTCCGTACTTTATAGACTCGAAAAAACAAGGTTCGGCGGTGGAAATCATGCAACGCCTCGGGTTCATGTAGAGAAGAATTCAGTTAAACGACCCAACGCACGCATGAAGTTACACAAATTTCCATGCAAACGCCAACCCAGTCCATCAATTTTCACAAGCGAGCGAGCGACTTCAAATTTTAAGGCGAGCGTTTCGAAGTGACTTGCCGTCAGCAAAAAAAAATCGCGCGGTGATTCAATTCGTTGATCTAAGAGTGCACAGCTCATGCAAAATTGCAAATTTCTGCACGTGTCCGACGCTAACTCATCGTTGCTACAAGTATACATACATATCGATTATCGCGAGAGTTTTTTTATAGACTAGATTTTTGTGTCATAAAGTTAATTCAACGGAACAAATTTCACGTAAAACAGAGTATAACGGATATGAGAGTTTAACATGTGCGAATATAAATGTTGCGCGAACAACTCTATCGTAAAAAAATCAACAACGAGCTTCCGGCTTGTATTACATCAAGTTCGACAAGTGAAGCTGAGATTCAGTCAGAAGACCGATGCATGATGGGAAAACCGTCAAGTTTCGTCTACGCAAGTAGATAAATTGCAAATGCACACGACTATATATATATCTATATATGTATATACATCTACGGAGACTCGCATTAATGCCCGCAACGCGTGACGAGGTGCAATTAATCCACGATAAGTGCAATTAATTTAGAGTGATTTTCTCCGCGCGGCAACCGCCGAATTAAATTCGGCGCGATCCATCACGCTGACACGTGCGGAAGAAAAATACAAGCGCGAAAAGAGACGAGCGTAAGACGAAAAAGAGAAAAAGAGAGAGAAAGAGAGAGAGAGAGAGAGAGAAAAAGGATTTCGCACATTTTGCTTCGCCAGACGAGGCGAAGCCCGGAGAACGCTAGGGGCGTGTGCGTGCGGGCGAAAACATCGATCGTGTGTCGGGGGCCGGGCGAAGTCGGTAGACGCGTGAATCTCAATTTGCCGACCTGGTCCCCGCGGACACACAGTGTGTCGGCTCCACGTGTATCCGCCGAACATTTACATAAGGCACAGACGAGGAGCAACGTACATACGCGGCTGCGTTTCCTGCGTCGGCGGCAATCCGACATGCCGGCCACTTTTCGAAAGATTAGTTTAACATCCGGTAGAATACGATCTCTGATCTATTCGTGACGTCGGGCGTTCAATCACTATGAGCAAAACATTTTAACGCCAAGAATAAAAACATCTAATTCGCTGTTCTTTTCGATCTCGCTTTCTCTCTCTCTTTCTCTCTCGATGTCGATCTTTGATAAACTCTTCCTCCGCCTCGCGTTTTTGTTTCCACGGAGCAGCAGTTAAAGAACTGCGACGAGAGATGCCGACAGCGCTTCGGTCGGGCGGAGTAACGGCCACGAAAGCTTCGTCGGCGCGGCATGGCTAATTAATCAAGCTTTTATAGTCGTCGTCCAGTTGAGCTCTCGACCACCGGCCAGTTTGTCGACGTTCTTTTTTTTTTCTCTTTCTCTCCCTCTCTTTCTCTCGCTTTCTTCGCTTCTTGCCGGTCCATCTCGCTTCCGAAAAACATGACCTCTCGCTATCGACGGAAAGAACACGCCATTTGCCTTTGTACCATTCGTCGCGTTGTCCCGCGCGCGATCCGACAACCGCATAAATTATTCATGCCGTGATTAATGCGATTAAATATTTAGGTATCTCGTTATTTATTCTTTTACTTTAACGCGTCGCACTTCCGTGGGCGTGTGAAGCGTGGGATTAGCGCGGACCGCCGTCTCGCGCAAACAAATTTTCGTGAGGAGAGACCAACGCACACGCCCGTCGCCGACGCAGCGCGACGTTCTTAATTGGTGCTAATTAGGCGGTTATATACGCTAAACGCGCGTCGCGCTTTCTCTCCGTGAAGAGGGTCGGGCACAAATGGCGTTTTCAATGAACACACTTATACGCGCTAGATTCTCTCGCGAATCCTTTACATTTATCGTCCTCTTCATTAAAGATAACAGCAATTAAAAAACATCCGTACCCGCGTGTTATTCGTTCAATTTTGCTCCGGTATTAAATTTGTTTTCAAAAGCGCGGTACTTGAAAATTTAACATCGTCCGTCTCGCGGACGAACGTCGTTGCTAATAAAGAATGGCCCCGCTCGCGCAAGGGAACGCGCGTACACATATCAATCCTCAGCTATTACAAATCATCGTATAGCCACCGATGTTGCGCGCCGCGGCGTATCTCGAAAGACGTGGGGGTGTGATATACATAAGCGCAAACAGCTACGCGAACGCGAAATAGATGGGCCGCACGTCGCGGCAAGGGATATTTCCCGGGAAATTCACCATTTTTAAGCTTATCCGTGGCACTTATTTCTCGAGAGATACGGCAGAGGCCCAGGGCTTCACAAGCGCCCGGGCTGGCAAGAGCCGGGCGGAAGGATACAAAACGAGCT